TAGTCAAGCCTGGCTCCTGTAGTCAAGCCTGGCTCCTGTAGTCAAGCCTGGCTCCTGTAGTCAAGCCTGGCCCCTGTAGTCAAGCCTGGCCCCTGAAGTCAAGTCTGGCTCCTGTAGTCAAGCCTGGCCCCTGTAGTCAAGCCTGGCTCCTGTAGTCAAACCTGGCCCCTGTAGTCAAGCCTGGCTCCTGTAGTCAAGCCTGGCTCCTGTATTCAAGCCTGGCTCCTGTAGTCAAGCCTGGCCCCTGTAGTCAAGCCTGGCTCCTGTAGTCAAGCCTGGCTCCTGTAGTCAAGCCTGGCCCCTGTAGTCAAGCCTGGCTCCTGTATTCAAGCCTGGCTCCTGTAGTCAAGCCTGGCCCCTGTAGTCAAGCCTGGCCCCTGTAGTCAAGCCTGGCCCCTGTAGTCAGGCCTGACCCCTTGTAGTCAAGCCTGGCTCCTATAGTCAAGCCTGGCTCCTGTAGTCAAGCCTGGCCCCTGTAGTCAAGCCTGGTCCCTGTAGTCAAGCCTGGTCCCTGTAGTCAAGCCTGGTCCCTGTAGTCAAGCCTGGTCCCTGTAGTCAAGCCTGGTCCCTGTAGTCAAGCTTGGCCCCTGTAGTCAAGCTTGGCCCCTGTAGTCAAGCCTGGCTCCTGTATTCAAGCCTGGCTCCTGTAGTCAAGCCTGGCCCCTGTAGTCAAGCCTGGCCCCTGTAGTCAAGCCTGGTCCCTGTAGTCAAGCCTGGCTCCTGTAGTCAAGCCTGGCCCCTGTAGTCAAGCCTGGCCCCTGTAGTCAAGCCTGGTCCCTGTAGTCAAGCCTGGCTCCTGTAGTCAAGCCTGGCTCCTGTAGTCAAGCCTGGCTCCTGTAGTCAAGCCTGGCTCCTGTAGTCAAGCCTGGCTCCTGTAGTCAAGCCTGGCCCCTGTAGTCAAGCCTGGTCCCTGTAGTCAAGCCTGGCTCCTGTAGTCAAGCCCTGGCCCCTGTAGTCAAGCCTGGCTCCTGTAGTCAAGCCCTGGCCCCTGTAGTCAAGCCTGGCTCCTGTAGTCAAGCCCTGGCCCCTGTTTTCAAGCCTGGCTCCTGTAGTCAAGCCTGGCTCCTGTAGTCAAGCCTGGCTCCTGTAGTCAAGCCTGGCTCCTGTAGTCAAGCCTGGCTCCTGTAGTCAAGCCTGGCTCCTGTAGTCAGGCCTGGCTCCTGTAGTCAAGCCTGGCTCCTGTAGTCAAGCCTGGCTCCTGTAGTCAAGCCTGGCTCCTGTAGTCAAGCCTGGCTCCTGTAGTCAAGCCTGGCTCCTGTAGTCAAGCCTGACCCCTTGTAGTCAAGCCTGGCTCCTGTAGTCAAGTGAGAGGTGAGCTCTCCTAAGATCAAGTGAGAGGTGAGCTCTCCTAAGATCAAATGTGAGGTGAGCTCTCCTAAGATGAAGTGAGAGGTGAGCTCTCCTAAGATGAAGTGAGAGGTGAGCTCTCCTAAGATCAAGTGAGAGGTGAGCTCTCCTAAGATCAAGTGAGAGGTGAGCTCTCCTAAGATCAAGTGAGAGGTGAGCTCTCCTAAGATCAAGTGAGAGGTGAGCTCTCCTAAGATCAAGTGAGAGGTGAGCTCTCCTAAGATCAAGTGAGAGGTGAGCTCTCCTAAGATCAAGTGAGAGGTGAGCTCTCCTAAGATCAAGTGAGAGGTGAGCTCTCCTAAGATCAAATGAGAGGTGAGCTCTCCTAAGATCAAGTGAGAGGTGAGCTCTCCTAAGATCAAGTGAGAGGTGAGCTCTCCTAAGATCAAGTGAGAGGTGAGCTCTCCTAAGATCAAATGTGAGGTGAGCTCTCCTAAGATCAAGTGAGAGGTGAGCTCTCCTAAGATGAAGTGAGAGGTGAGCTCTCCTAAGATCAAGTGAGAGGTGAGCTCTCCTAAGATCAAGTGAGAGGTGAGCTCTCCTAAGATCAAGTGAGAGGTGAGCTCTCCTAAGATCAAGTGAGAGGTGAGCTCTCCTAAGATCAAGTGAGAGGTGAGCTCTCCTAAGATCAAGTGAGAGGTGAGCTCTCCTAAGATCAAGTGAGAGGTGAGCTCTCCTAAGATCAAGTGAGAGGTGAGCTCTCCTAAGATCAAGTGAGAGGTGAGCTCTCCTAAGATCAAATGAGAGGTGAGCTCTCCTAAGATCAAGTGAGAGGTGAGCTCTCCTAAGATCAAGTGAGAGGTGAGCTCTCCTAAGATCAAATGTGAGGTGAGCTCTCCTAAGATCAAGTGAGAGGTGAGCTCTCCTAAGATGAAGTGAGAGGTGAGCTCTCCTAAGATCAAGTGAGAGGTGAGCTCTCCTAAGATGAAGTGAGAGGTGAGCTCTCCTAAGATCAAGTGAGAGGTGAGCTCTCCTAAGATCAAGTGAGAGGTGAGCTCTCCTAAGATCAAGTGAGAGGTGAGCTCTCCTAAGATCAAGTGAGAGGTGAGCTCTCCTAAGATCAAGTGAGAGGTGAGCTCTCCTAAGATCAAGTGAGAGGTGAGCTTTGTGAATGTTGAGTGTGTGTGCTGTATCGTGACTATGGAGCAAGTAGTTGTAAGATATATAGCGTGTTTCCAGCTGTTGACGTAACATTAGCCTTTCTGTAGCATTTGTTGACGTAGGGATGTAGACACCGCATATGTGGGTGTGGCTATTCACTGGATGGGTGACCATGTAGACAATTCACTAATCGATCACATCTCCAATTACCGCCAGGTGAACATGGGTAAACAGTTAGGATTGGTACCCAGTCACCCCGCTCTGCCCGAGGCTCGAACCCGGTGCTGGGTGTTGAAGTGATCACTGCAGGGCATGGGTTGCGTGGCTGGTGGTGCCTTGTGACACCAGCTCGTCCCAGAGTATCATGAAGTTCCTGTTAACAAGACCTGTAAACCATAGTCCAAGTTACTGTGGCTCTCAGGAGCCACAGACTAACACAACATGTTCACTTGAGGCTGGTGAGAGCCACAGACTAACACAACATGTTCACTTGAGGCTGGTGAGAGCCACAGACTAACACAACATGTTCACTTGAGGCTGGTGAGAGCCACAGACTAACACAACATGTTCACTCGAGGCTGGTGAGAGCCACAGACTAACACAACATGTTCACTCGAGGCTGGTGAGAGCCACAGACTAACACAACATGTTCACTCGAGGCTGGTGAGAGCCACAGACTAACACAACATGTTCACTTGAGGCTGGTGATAGCCACAGACTAACACAACATGTTCACTTGAGGCTGGTGAGAGCCACAGACTAACACAACATGTTCACTTGAGGCTGGTGAGAGCCACAGACTAACACAACATGTTCACTTGAGGCTGGTGAGAGCCACAGACTAACACAACATGTTCACTTGAGGCTGGTGAGAGCCACAGACTAACACAACATGTTCACCTGAGGCTGGTGAGAGCCACAGACTAACACAACATGTTCACCTGAGGCTGGTGAGAGCCACAGACTAACACAACATGTTCACCTGAGGCTGGTGAGAGCCACAGACTAACACAACATGTTCACTTGAGGCTGGTGAGAGCCACAGACTAACACAACATGTTCACTTGAGGCTGGTGAGAGCCACAGACTAACACAACATGTTCACTTGAGGCTGGTGAGAGCCACAGACTAACACAACATGTTCACTTGAGGCTGGTGATAGCCACAGACTAACACAACATGTTCACTTGAGGCTGGTGAGAGCCACAGACTAACACAACATGTTCACTTGAGGCTGGTGAGAGCCACAGACTAACACAACATGTTCACCTGAGGCTGGTGAGAGCCACAGACTAACACAACATGTTCACTTGAGGCTGGTGAGAGCCACAGACTAACACAACATGTTCACTTGAGGCTGGTGAGAGCCACAGACTAACACAACATGTTCACCTGAGGCAGGTGAGAGCCACAGACTAACACAACATGTTCACAAGTGAAGATGGTACTGTTGGCACTTGTCAGTCCCCGAGGTAAAGTGTATAAGACTTCCTGGATGATGTGGATGGTTATAGCAGGTAAAGTCATACTGTCTCTTACCTAGACGTGTCCCAGACCAGTCGTCAAGATCTCTCTAGCGAGCCACCCATTGACTTGAAACTTTGCGTGAGACAAGTACCTGTAAATGTGGTCGCTCCTCCGCAAATGTTTAGAGGCAGTGGTGTGAGGTGGCTGGGCCCCCTGGGCAGGCGAGCATGGTGGTCTAGTGGGTGCCGCCACCTGGAACATCAGTAGCCTCAGCCTCTCTCAACACTTCGTACTTCCTTGGCCAGTCTCTCGCGCTCTACGCAACTCCCAGTATCCCACCACGTAATGATAATAATAATTGTTATTTACAAACTGTAAATAACAGTTTGGCAGACCTAAAACAGTGGACAGACCTACATGTGGGAGGTGGAGACAGACCTAAACATGGGAGGTGGAGCCAGACCTAAACATGGGAGGTGGAGCCAGACCTAAACATGGGAGGTGGAGCCAGACCTAAACATGAGAGGTGGAGCCAGACCTAAACATGAGAGGTGGAGCTAGACCTAAACATGGTAGGTGGAGCCAGACCTAAACATGAGAGGTGGAGCCAGACCTAAACATGAGAGGTGGTGACTGTTCTAGGAACGTGACATGAACGTGAGACACATCAGAAGTATGTGTAGAATAATAAACCCCACATTGTTTGAGTTAGGAAAACACTATTTGTCAAATATTGATACTGTTCTTAAAAGATTCCCCCATTTTGCACCCGCAAGATAACGCAAGCTTTTAAGGGTTGATAAATGTTAATCTTCTTGTTTGAGGAGCTGTTCACTTGAGACAGTTAAGCAAGTCCCAGCTGTGTCTGGGTACAAGTGACAGGATGAACAACCCAGCGGGTTTTCTTCCTATTGGGGAGTGTTGTACATGCTGCTATGGCGGTGTGTCCACTCACAAGACAAGTGGCGCTGCCCAATAAACTCGCCCCTCGGGGCAAAATTTAAAAAAAAAATAAACCAGGCGGTGGGTGACGTAACAATGAGCTACGATGTCTAAAAGATTGACAGTAAAATAATAAAGGTTACCGGGTCGTTGCGGCAAGTTAGCAGCAGCAGTGTAAGCGGTGACGTGTACTGTAATGTGAGGCTGAGCCGTGGTGGAGGTCTGGCGGGAACCAGGAAAGTCTTGACAGTATTGTGCTGACGTCCCCAGGCTGGTGCAGTAGCCGCCGGCCACATTGCTCAACCATATCCCTCCCACATTGTCTTCCACATTGTCTTCCATGTTGCCTTCCTCCTACATGGTCTTTCTCCCATGTTGTATTCCTCTTAGCTGGATGCTTCTTCCTACACTGTTGGTTCTTCCCACACTGTTGGTTCTTCCCACACTGTTGGTTCTTCCCACACTGTTGGTTCTTCCCACACTGCTGGTTCTTCCCACACTGCTGGTTCTTCCACCACACTGCTGGTTCTTCCACCACACTGCTGGTTCATCCACCACACTGCTGGTTCTACCTACACAGTTGGTTCTTCCCACACTGTTGGTTCTTCCCACACTGTTGGTTCTTCCCACACTGTTGGTTCTTCCCACACTGTTGGTTCTACCCACACTGTTGAATCTCCCCACACTGTTGGTTCTTCTCACACTTCTGGTTCTTCCCACTTTACTGGTTCTTCCCACACTGTTGGTTCTTCCCACACTACTGGTTCTTCCCACACTGTTGGTTCTTCCCACACTGTTGGTTCTTCCCACTTTACTGGTTCTTCCCACACTGTTGGTTCTTCCCACACTACTGGTTCTTCCCACACTGTTGGTTCTTCCCACACTGTTGGTTCTTCCCACTTTACTGGTTCTTCCCACACTGTTGGTTCTTCCCACACTGTTGGTTCTTCCTACACTGTTGGTTCTTCCCACACTGTTGGTTCTTCCCACACTGTTGGTTCTTCTCACACTTCTGGTTCTTCCCACTTTACTGGTTCTTCCCACACTGTTGGTTCTTCCCACACTACTGGTTCTTCCCACACTGTTGGTTCTTCCCACACTGTTGGTTCTTCCCACACTGTTGGTTCTTCCCACACTGTTGGTTCTTCCCACTTTACTGGTTCTTCCCACACTGTTGGTTCTTCCCACACTGTTGGTTCTTCCTACACTGTTGGTTCTTCCCACACTGTTGGTTCTTCCCACACTGTTGGTTCTTCCCACTTTACTGGTTCTTCCCACACTACTGGTTCTTCCCACACTGTTGGTTCTTCCTACACTGTTGGTTCTTCCCACACTGTTGGTTCTTCACACACTGTTGGTTCATCAGACACTGTTGGTTCTTCACACACTGTTGGTTCTTCCCACACTGTTGGTTCTTCCCACACTACTGGTTCTTCCCACACTGTTGGTTCTTCCCACACTGTTGGTTCTTCCCACACTACTGGTTCTTCCCACACTTTTGGTTCTTCCCACACTGTTGGTTCTTCCCACACTGTTGGTTCTTCCCACTGTTGGTTCTTCCCACACTACTGGTCCTTCCTACACTGTTGGTTCTTTCCACACTACTGGTTCTTCCCACACTACTGGTTCTTCCCACACTGTTGCTTCTTCCCACACTGTTGGTTCTTCCCACACTGATGGTTCTTCCCACACTACTGGTTCTTCCCACACTGTTGGTTCTTCCCACACTGTTGGTTCTTCCCACACTACTGGTTCTTCCCACACTACTGGTTCTTCCCACACTGTTGGTTCTTCCCACACTGTTGGTTCTTCCCACACTACTGGTTCTTCCCACACTACTGGTTCTTCCCACACTACTGGTTCTTCCCACACTACTGGTTCTTCCCACACTACTGGTTCTTCCCACACTACTGGTTCTTCCCACACTGTTGGTTCTTCCTACACTGTTGGTTCTTCCTACATTGTTGGTTCTTCCTACATTGTTGGTTCTTCCCACACTGTTCGTTCTTCCCACACTGTTGGTTCTTCCCACACTACTGGTTCTTCCCACACTACTGGTTCTTCCCACACTGTTGGTTCTTCCCACACTGTTGGTTCTTCCCACACTGTTGGTTCTTCCCACACTGTTGGTTCTTCCCACGCTGTTGGTTCTTCCCACACTGTTGGTTCTTCTAACACTGTTGGTTCTTCCCACACTACTGGTTCTTCCCACACTGTTGGTTCTTCCCACACTGTTGGTTCTTCTCACACTGTTGGTTCTTCCCACACTACTGGTTATTCCCACACTGTTGGTTCTTCCCACACTGTTGGTTCTTCCCACACTACTGGTTCTTCCTACACTGTTGGTTCTTCCCACACTACTTGTTCTTCCCACACTACTGGTTCTTCCCACACTACTGGTTCTTCCCACACTACTGGTTCTTTCCACACTGTTGGTTCTTCCCACACTGTTGGTTCTTCTCACACTGTTGGTTCTTCCCACACTACTGGTTCTTCCCACACTGTTGGTTCTTCCCACACTACTGGTTCTTCCCACACTACTGGTTCTTCCCACACTTGGTTCTTCCCACACTACTGGTTCTTCCCACACTGTTGGTTCTTCCCACACTGTTGGTTCTTCCCACGCTGTTGGTTCTTCCCACACTGTTGGTTCTTCTAACACTGTTGGTTCTTCCCACACTGTTGGTTCTTCTCACACTGTTGGTTCTTCCCACACTACTGGTTCTTCCCACACTGTTGGTTCTTCCCACACTACTGGTTCTTCCCACACTACTGGTTCTTCCCACACTACTGGTTCTTCCCACACTTGGTTCTTCCCACACTGTTGGTTCTTCCCACACTGTTGGTTCTTCCCACGCTGTTGGTTCTTCCCACGCTGTTGGTTCTTCCCACACTGTTGGTTCTTCTAACACTGTTGTTTCTTCTAACACTGTTGGTTCTTCCCACTACTGGTTCTTCCCACACTGTTGGTTCTTCCCACACTGTTGGTTCTTCCCACACTGTTGTTTCTTCTAACTGTTGGTTCTTCTAACACTGTTGGTTCTTCCCACACTGTTCGTTCTTCGCACACTGTTGGTTCTTCCCACACTGTTGGTTCTTCCCACACTGTTGGTTCTTCCCACATTCTTCGTTCTTCCCACATTGTTGGTTCTTCCCACATTGTTGGTTCTTCCCACACTACTGGTTGTTCCTACACTGTTGGTTCTTCCCACACTACTGGTTCTTCCCACACTACTGGTTCTTCCCACACTACTGGTTCTTCCCACACTGTTGGTTCTTCCCACACTGTTGGTTCTTCCCACGCTGTTGGTTCTTCCCACACTGTTGGTTCTTCCCACACTGTTGATTCTTCCCACTTTGTTGGTTCTTCCCACAATGTTGATTCTTCCCACACTGTTGGTTCTTCCCACACTGTTCGTTCTTCCCACACTGTTGGTTCTTCCCACACTGTTCGTTCTTCTCACACTGTTGGTTCTTCCCACACTGTTCGTTCTTCTCACACTACTGATTCTTCCTACATTGTTGGTTCTTCCTACATTGTTGGTTCTTCCCACACTGTTCGTTCTTCTCACACTGTTGGTTCTTCCCACACTGTTGGTTCTTCCCACTGTTCGTTCTTCTCACACTGTTGGTTCTTCCCACACTGTTCGTTCTTCTCACACTACTGATTCTTCCTACATTGTTGGTTCTTCCTACATTGTTGGTTCTTCCCACACTGTTCGTTCTTCCCACACTGCTGGTTCTTCCCACACTACTTGTTCTTCCCACACTATTTGTTCTTCCCACACTAGTGGTTCTTTCCACACTACTGGTTCTTCCCACACTACTGGTTCTTCCCACACTGTTGGTTCTTCCCACACTGTTGGTTCTTCCCACGCTGTTGGTTCTTCCCACACTGTTGGTTCTTCCCACACTGTTGGTTCTTCCCACACTGTTGGTTCTTCCCACACTACTGGTTCTTCCCACACTGTTGGTTCTTCCCACACTGTTGGTTCTTCCCACACTGTTGGTTCTTCCCACACTGTTCGTTCTTCCCACACTGTTTGTTCTTCCCACACTGTTGGTTCTTCCCACACTGTTCGTTCTTCCCACACTACTGGTTCTTCCCACACTACTGATTCTTCCTACACTGTTGGTTCTTCCCACACTACTGGTTCTTCCCACACTACTGGTTCTTCCCACACTGTTGGTTCTTCCTACACTGTTGGTTCTTCCCACACTATGGGTTCTTCCTACACTGTTGGTTCTTCCCACACTGTTGGTTCTTCCCACACTAATGGTTCTTCCCACACTGTTGGTTCTTCCCACACTGTTGGTTCTTCCTGCACTACTGGTTGTTCCTACACTGTTGGTTCTTCCCACACTAATGGTTCTTCCCACACTGTTGGTTCTTCCCACACTGTTGGTTCTTCCCACACTACTGGTTCTTCCCACACTACTGGTTCTTCCCACAATACTGGTTCTTCCCACTCTACTGGTTCTTCCCACACTGTTCGTTCTTCTCACGCTGTTGGTTTTTCCCACATTGTTGGTTCTTCCCACACTGTTGGTTCTACCCACACTGTTGGTTCTTCCCACTACTGGTTCTTCCCACACTCTGGTTCTTCTAACACTGTTGGTTCTTCACACACTGTTGGTTCTTCACACACTGTTGGTTCTTCACACACTGTTGGTTTTTCAATCACTGTTGGTTCTTCCCACACTGTTGGTTCTTCCCACACTGTTGGTTCTTCCCACGCTGTTGGTTCTTCCTACACTGTTGGTTCTTCCCACACTGTTGGTTCTTCCCACACTGTTGGTTCTTCCCACTCCTCTGGTTCTTTCCACACTGTTGGTTCTTCCCACACTGTTGATTCTTTTCACACTGTTGGTTCTTCCCACACTGTTGGTTCTTCCCACACTGTTGGTTCTTCCCACACTGTTGGTTCTTCCCACACTGTTGGTTCTTCCCACACTGTTGGTTCTTCCCACACTGTTGGTTCTTCCCACACTGTTGATTCTTTTCACACTGTTGGTTCTTCCCACACTGTTGGTTCTTCCCACACTGTTGGTTCTTCCTACATTGTTGGTTCTTCCCACACTGTTGGTTCTTCCCGCACTGTTGGTTCTTCCCACACTGTTGGTTCTTCCCACACTACTGGTTCTTCCCACACTGTTGGTTCTTCCCACACTGTTGGTTCTTCCCACACTGTTGGTTCTTCCCACACTGTTGGTTCTTCCCACACTTCTGGTTCTTCTAACACTGTTGGTTCTTCACACACTGTTGATTCTTTTCACACTGTTGGTTCTTCCCACACTGTTGGTTCTTCCCACACTGTTGGTTTTTTCTACACTGTTGGTTCTTCCCACACTACTGGTTCTTCCCACTCTGTTGGTTCTTCCCACACTGTTGGTTCTTCCCACACTACTGGTTCTTCCCACACTACTGGTTCTTCCTACACTGTTGGTTCTTCCCACACTACTGGTCCTTCCAACACTTCTGGTTCTTCCCACTCTACTGGTTCTTCCCACACTATGGGTTCTTCCTACACTGTTGGTTCTTCCCACACTGTTGGTTCTTCCCACACTGTTGGTTCATCCCACACTGTTGGTTCTTCCCACACTGTTGGTTCTTCCCACACTTCTGGTTCTTCTAACACTGTTGGTTCTTCACACACTGTTGATTCTTTTCACACTGTTGGTTCTTCCCACACTGTTGGTTCTTCCCAAACTAATGGTTCTTCCCACACTGTTGGTTCTTCCCACACTGTTGGTTTTTCCCACACTGTTGGGTCTTCCCACACTACTGGTTGTTCCTACATTGTTGGTTCTTCCCACAGTACTGGTTCTTCCCACACTGTTGGTTCTTCCCACACTTTTGGTTCTTCCCACACTGTTGGTTCTTCCCACACTACTGGTTCTTCCCACACTGCTGGTTCTTCCCACACTACTGGTTCTTCCTACTTTTGGTTCTTCCCACACTGTTGGTTCTTCCCACACTACTGGTTCTTCCCACACTACTGGTTCTTCCCACACTGTTGGTTCTTCCCACACTGTTGGTTCTTCCCACACTGTTGGTTCTTCCCACGCTGTTTGTTCTTCCCACACTGTTGGTTCTTCCCACGCTGTTGGCTCTTCCCACACTGTTGGTTCTTCCCACACTGTTGATTCTTCCCACTTTGTTGGTTCTTCCCACAATGTTGATTCTTCCCACACTGTTGGTTCTTCCCACACTGTTCGTTCTTCCCACACTGTTGGTTCTTCCCACACTGTTCGTTCTTCTCACACTGTTGGTTCTTCCCACACTGTTGGTTCTTCCCACACTGTTCGTTCTTCCCACACTGTTCGTTCTTCTCACACTACTGATTCTTCCTACATTGTTGGTTCTTCCTACATTGTTGGTTCTTCCCACACTGTTCGTTCTTCCCACACTGCTGGTTCTTCCCACACTACTTGTTCTTCCCACACTATTTGTTCTTCCCACACTAGTGGTTCTTTCCACACTACTGGTTCTTCCCACACTACTGGTTCTTCCCACACTGTTGGTTCTTCCCACACTGTTGGTTCTTCCCACACTGTTGGTTCTTCCCACACTGTTCGTTCTTCCCACACTGTTGGTTCTTCCCACACTGTTGGTTCTTCCCACACTGTTGGTTCTTCCCACACTGTTGGTTCTTCCCACACTGTTCGTTCTTCCCACACTACTGGTTCTTCCCACACTACTGATTCTTCCTACACTGTTGGTTCTTCCCACACTACTGGTTCTTCCCACACTACTGGTTCTTCCCACACTGTTGGTTCTTCCTACACTGTTGGTTCTTCCCACACTATGGGTTCTTCCTACACTGTTGGTTCTTCCCACACTGTTGGTTCTTCCCACACTAATGGTTCTTCCTACACTGTTGGTTCTTCCCACACTGTTGGTTCTTCCTGCACTACTGGTTGTTCCTACACTGTTGGTTCTTCCCACACTAATGGTTCTTCCCACACTGTTGGTTCTTCCCACACTGTTGGTTCTTCCCACACTACTGGTTCTTCCCACACTACTGGTTCTTCCCACAATACTGGTTCTTCCCACTCTACTGGTTCTTCCCACACTGTTCGTTCTTCTCACGCTGTTGGTTTTTCCCACATTGTTGGTTCTTCCCACACTGTTGGTTCTACCCACACTGTTGGTTCTTCCCACTACTGGTTCTTCCCACACTTCTGGTTCTTCTAACACTGTTGGTTCTTCACACACTGTTGGTTCTTCACACACTGTTGGTTCTTCACGCACTGTTGGTTTTTCAATCACTGTTGGTTCTTCCCACACTGTTGGTTCTTCCCACACTGTTGGTTCTTCCCACACTGTTGGTTCTTCCTACACTGTTGGTTCTTCCCACACTGTTGGTTCTTCCCACACTGTTGGTTCTTCCCACTCCTCTGGTTCTTTCCACACTGTTGGTTCTTCCCACACTGTTGATTCTTTTCACACTGTTGGTTCTTCCCACACTGTTGGTTCTTCCCACACTGTTGGTTCTTCCCACACTGTTGGTTCTTCCCACACTGTTGGTTCTTCCCACACTGTTGGTTCTTCCCACACTGTTGATTCTTTTCACACTGTTGATTCTTTTCACACTTCCCCACACTGTTGGTTCTTCCCACACTGTTGGTTCTTCCTACATTGTTGGTTTTTCCCACACTGTTGGTTCTTCCCGCACTGTTGGTTCTTCCCACACTGTTGGTTCTTCCCACACTACTGGTTCTTCCCACACTGTTGGTTCTTCCCACACTGTTGGTTCTTCCCACACTGTTGGTTCTTCCCACACTGTTGGTTCTTCCCACACTTCTGGTTCTTCTAACACTGTTGGTTCTTCACACACTGTTGATTCTTTTCACACTGTTGGTTCTTCCCACACTGTTGGTTCTTCCCACACTGTTGGTTTTTTCTACACTGTTGGTTCTTCCCACACTACTGGTTCTTCCCACTCTGTTGGTTCTTCCCACACTGTTGGTTCTTCCCACACTACTGGTTCTTCCCACACTACTGGTTCTTCCTACACTGTTGGTTCTTCCCACACTGCTGGTCCTTCCAACACTTCTGGTTCTTCCCACTCTACTGGTTCTTCCCACACTATGGGTTCTTCCTACACTGTTGGTTCTTCCCACACTGTTGGTTCTTCCCACACTGTTGGTTCTTCCCACACTGTTGGTTCTTCCCACACTTCTGGTTCTTCTAACACTGTTGGTTCTTCACACACTGTTGATTCTTTTCACACTGTTGGTTCTTCCCACACTGTTGGTTCTTCCCAAACTAATGGTTCTTCCCACACTGTTGGTTCTTCCCACACTGTTGGTTCTTCCCACACTGTTGGGTCTTCCCACACTACTGGTTGTTCCTACATTGTTGGTTCTTCCCACACTACTGGTTCTTCCCACACTACTGGTTCTTCCCACATTTCTGGTTCTTCCCACTCTACTGGTTCTTCCCACACTGTTCATTCTTCTCACACTGTTGGTTTTTCCCACACTGTTGGTTCTTCCCACACTGTTGGTTCTTCTAACACTGTTGGTTCTTCCCACACTGTTGGTTCTTCCCACACTGTTGGTTCTTCCCACACTGTTGGTTCTTCCCACACTGTTGGTTCTTCCCACACTACTGGTTCTTCCCACACTACTGGTTCTTCCCACACTGTTGGTTCTTCCTACACTGTTGGTTCTTCCCACACTATGGGTTCTTCCTACACTGTTGGTTCTTCCCACACTGTTGGTTCTTCCCACACTAATGGTTCTTCCCACACTGTTGGTTCTTCCCACACTGTTGGTTCTTCCCACACTACTGGTTGTTCCTACACTGTTGGTTCTTCCCACACTTCTGGTTCTTCCCACACTACTGGTTCTTCCCACATTTCTGGTTCTTCCCACTCTACTGGTTCTTCCCACACTGTTCGTTCTTCTCACGCTGTTGGTTCTTCCCACACTGTTGGTTCTACCCACACTGTTGGTTCTTCCCACACTTCTGGTTCTTCTAACACTGTTGGTTCTTCACACACTGTTGGTTCTTCACACACTGTTGGTTCTTCACACACTGTTGGTTTTTCAAACACTGTTGGTTCTTCCCACACTGTTGGTTCTTCCCACACTGTTGGTTCTTCCCACACTGTTGGTTCTTCCCACACTGTTGGTTCTTCCCACTCTTCTGGTTCTTTCCACACTGTTGGTTCTTCCCACACTACTGGTTCTTCCCACACTACTGGTTCTTCCCATACTACTGATTCTTCCCACACTGTTGGTTCTTCCTACATTGTTGGTTCTTCCCACACTGTTGGTTCTTCCTACACTGTTGGTTCTTCCCGCACTGTTGGTTCTTCCCACACTGTTGGTTCTTCCCACACTGTTGGTTCTTCCCACACTACTGGTTCTTCCCACACTACTGGTTCTTCCCACACTTCTGGTTCTTCCCTCTCTACTGGTTCTTCACACACTTCGCTCTTCTCACACTGTTGGTTTTTCCTACACTGTTGGTTCTTCCCACACTGTTGGTTCTTCCCACACTGTTGGTTCTTCACACACTGTTGGTTCTTCCCACACTGTTGGTTCTTCCCACATTGTTGGTTCTTCCCACACTGTTGGTTCTTCCCACACTGTTGGTTCTTCCCACACTGTTGGTTCTTCCCACACTGTTGGTTCTTCCCACACTGCTGGTTCTTCCCACACTTTCCTACTCTGTTGGTTCTTCCCACACTGTTGGTTCTTCCCACACTAATGGTTCTTCCCACACTGTTGGTTCTTCCCACACTACTGGTTGTTCCTACACTGTTGGTTCTTCCCATACTACTGGTTCTTCCCACACTACTGGTTCTTCCCACATTTCTGGTTCTTCCCACTATACTGGTTCTTCCCACACTGTTCGTTCTTCTCACGCTGTTGGTTTTTCCCACATTGTTGGTTCTTCCCACACTGTTGGTTCTACTCACACTGTTGGTTCTTCCCACTACTGGTTCTTCCCACACTTCTGGTTCTTCTAACAATGGTGGTTCTTCACACACTGTTGGTTCTTCACACACTGTTGGTTTTTCAAACACTGTTGGTTCTTCCCACACTGTTGGTTCTTCCCACACTGTTGGTTCTTCCCACACTGTTGGTTCTTCCCACACTGTTGGTTCTTCCCACACTGTTGGTTCTTCCCACACTGTTGGTTCTTCCTACACTGTTGGTTCTTCCCACACTGTTGGTTCTTCCCACACTGTTGGTTCTTCCCACACTGTTGGTTCTTCCCACTCTTCTGGTTCTTTCCACACTGTTGGTTCTTCCCACACTACTGGTTCTTCCCTCACTACTGATTCTTCCCACACTGTTGGTTCTTCCAACATTGTTGGTTCTTCCCACACTGTTGGTTCTTCCCGCACTGTTGGTTCTTCCCACACTGTTGGTTCTTCCCTCACTACTGGTTCTTCCCACACTGTTGGTTCTTCCCGCACTGTTGGTTCTTCCCACACTGTTGGTTCTTCCCTCACTACTGGTTCTTCCCACACTACTGTTCTTCCCACACTGTTGGTTCTTCCCACACTGTTGGTTCTTCCCACACTTCTGGTTCTTCCCACACTACTGGTTCTTCCCACACTGTTGGTTCTTCCCACACTTCTGGTTCTTCCCACTCTACTGGTTCTTCACACACTGTTCGCTCTTCTCACACTGTTGGTTTTTCCTACACTGTTGGGTCTTCCCACACTGTTGGTTCTACCCACACTGTTGGTTCTTCCCACTACTGGTTCTTCCCACACTGTTGGTTCTTCCTACACTGTTGGTTCTTCCCACACTACTGATTCTTCCCACATTGTTGGTTCTTTCCTATAGACTAGGATTTTTTTGTCTTCTTGTTGTGAAATATTCAGAACAATAGTTGTGCTAAAAATTTAAATAATGTTATGTGTACTATTATTCTTTTGAAAATGAGACTGGCTTCTTCTAAGTGTTGCTGCCACTGGATGCTGTTGTGCACTTCATACTCAACTGTGAGTGGAAGCGGTCTTAATCAGATTCCACTGGATTTTGTTTTGATGCTTTTTTTTCACAATTTATCTGTATTCCTCCAACATGTAATAACATGTTAATAATCAACATGTAATATGATTCAAACCATTTATTTACTTGCAGAGGATGGCAAAGCCACCCCGTACAAGTGACTTGGTTACAGTGCTGCGGGGCCTGTCCCGTGTTGGGTCAGCCTTGGTAGATGTCAGGTCACAAGATGCTAAGAAGGCATGGTCTACATCTTCACTTCGTTCACTAATTGCACAGGGAAGTATTAGTCTGCAAGATTCCATCATCAGGACACTGCAGGAACCACAAATATTTCAGGTCAGTGCTGTTTTCTTAGACTGTAGAATCTGCCCCGGTTATTTCTTGCTTCAGTATCACATCACTAATGTTTTCGATATTTGATGAATAGAATATTCATAATAGTATATATATATATATATATATATATATATATATATATATATATATATATATATATATATATATATATATATATATATATATATATATATATATTAGTATATTTGGTAGCAGTCTTTCCTGTAGACATATATTATTAAATATGACCGAAAAAGTAAGATTAATAATTCTAACACGAATTTTCTCAATCTTTCGTACATTTCTTTTCACTGTTGGAGGTAAATCAAAAATCAATTCTCCAAAATTCATTTTTATTTCTAGTCTGACGCGACACGAGCGCGTTTCGTAAAACTTATTACATTTTCAAAGACTTTTAGTTTACAAATACACAACTGAATAGAACTTACACATCTCCTGGTTTCGTTTATATCTACATTTGAGTGAGGTGGATGGGGTGAGGTGGCATTAATAGGGTATTATTTTCATCAACACAAGACAGAACAAGAGGTGGCATTAATAGGGTATTAATTTCATCGACACAAGACAGAACACGAAACAATGGGTATTGAAATGGAAGTGATTGTAGAAAGCCTATTGGTCCATATTTCTTGATGCTTCTATATTGGAGCGGAGTCTTGAGGTGGGTAGAATGTAGTTGTGCATTAATTGGCTGTTGATTGCTGGTGTTGACTTCTTAACCCTTAAAGTGCGCATCACTTCATATGAAGTGTAAATCGTTTTACCAGTCAACTGCGCTTCACTTCATATGAAGTGTATGGGTACCGCGCACGATTTGAATGGCCCGCGGTGTAGCTGGGGGTCCCATACGCTGCCCAGGGGCTCTAGGAAAAAGCGGCCATTTTGAAAAAAATCCAGCTCACGATCCGATGGAATGGGAGGCCTCAGTTTAGCGAGAGTCACCATGGCGAGCGCACGGTCAAACGCCTCACGGGCACGCACCACTCAGTCCCTCACCCCAGGGCAAATAGCTCACGAATTATTCTCTGAAGGTGAAGAAAGTGTGTTTGACGATTCAGACAACGATGAGGATTATACACAGTTGTCGGGTGATAGTAGCAGCAGCAGTGAAAGTGAGAATGACCGCCATGCCATGGCGAGGCCTATACGCTCTCCCATGCCTCCTCGCCCATTTTCTACCCCAATTCTACCACGACCTCACAGTTCCTGTGGATATTTTCTGTTTGAGGGTGACAAGTCAGAGGGAGGTGACTCCTTTTCTGGGTTTAGTGACTCAGATCAAAGTTTTATTGAGCCTGTGGCTGGTACCAGTGGTGTAACTGGGCGAGAAATTGTCGCGTCAGCAGCATCTCGCCCGGCCAAGCGCCACAGCATGGCACCACATGAGGGACCAAGACCCTCGTGTTCACGTGCACCCACCTCACGTGCACGTAGCCGCCGTGCTTCTCGCAGACGGTATTCAGCTCCTGGTCGCCGGTATGCATCGCTTCCTCGCCGTCTTTCCTCTGCATCTCGCAGGACGCCTGGTGTACTTGAGTGGAGTGATGGTGACGATTTTATTCCTAATATTCCTCACTTTGACGATAAAGATGTAGGGATTACAAACCTTTTCCCTAATCAAGGTGAGGACATGGCTGAGATGGAATATTTTACAGCATTCTATGATGAACCACTCATGGAATACATTGTACACCAAACGAACCTGCATGCTGCTTACCTGATTGAGAGGGAAATCACAGAATTTTCACGACTGCAGCGTTGGAAAAATACCACAGTGGCGGAAATGTATGTGTTTTTGGCACTCTGTTTGTTGATGAAGCACTGTCACAAACATGCAATAAATGACTATTGGAGCAAGGACAAGACAATACCAACACCTTTATTCGGGAAATATATGTCACGAGACAGGTTTCAGATACTCCTCAGGTGTCTACATTTTGGAAGTGTTCAGGACCGAACACCTGATGATAGACTGTGGCGAGTGAGGCACTACATGAACGATGTTATTGGAAAATTCAGAGATTTTTACGTACCAGCACAGAAGCTGGTGGTTGATGAATCTCTCATACTTTTCAAGGGACGTGTTCCATTCAAACAGTACATTCCCTCAAAACGAAACCGATTTGGCCTGAAATTTTTTGTTCTTTGTGATTGTGAGACAGGATACGTGTTACACATGATTCTGTACTCGGCTAGTGATGTAGACATTCCCGGTAACGACGAACATGGATTCTCGGGGAGTGTAGTGAAGACCATCATGGCTCCGTGGATGAACAAGGGACACATTTTATACACAGATAATTACTATACAAGTCCCTTGCTAGCTCGGTTCTTGCTAGAAAATAGAACCGGATTGGTTGGTACAGTAAAGCCACAACGAAGGGAAATGCCTGTGTTTGACAACGACATTGCAGTTGGTGAGTGTCAGAGAAGGAAAAGTGATAACATTCTGTCAGTTCGGTGGAAAGACAAAAGAGAGGTGAACTTGTTGACAACAATTCATGATGGAACAATGGTGAACAGTGGGAAAGTGAGCCATAAAACAAACGCACCACTATATAAGCCAGACTGTGTTTTAGACTATAATATCAACATGCGGTTGATTGATAAATCAGACATGATGATTGGCACTGCAGAGTGTGTGCGGAAGACATGTAGGTGGACGAAAAAAGTGTTCTTCCATCTTGTGGACATGAGCATGCTGAACTGTTTCAACATGTACCTTGTGAGAACTGGACGCAAGCCCACTTTCCGTGACTTTGTATTTGATGCTGCAATACAGTTATTAGGAAAGTTTGCAAAAGATGTCCCAGGTATTCAGCGGCCCATCATAAACCCACTGTTGCAGCATGCTGGTACTCCACGCCTCGCTCACACTGAAGGCTTCCTAGCACACAAACTTAAGTATTTGCCACCTGGTGTGAAGCGTGTAATAGCCCAACGTGATTGCTTGGTGTGTAAAACAACGACACGTAGAGACAAGAAACGGAAGCTTGTGCAAACATGGTGTGAAACGTGTGGTATCCTATTATGTGCTGTCGACTGCTTCAATGACTACCACAGTCTAGAAATCTTCTAAGTGTGCCTCAAAGTGTGTATAGCGTGTGCGAGTGTGTAAATATGTAAACATATAAGCAGATAGCATGTGCGTGTGTGTAAATATATACAAATATAAGCAGAACATACAATATAATAGACTGTAATGACATATTATATTGCCGTAATTGAAAACATTTGTGTGCGCCTGTGTATACTCAAATATGCAACAATTATTGATACAAAATATGTTCAAACAGTATTTGAAACACAATTAGTGAAAAAAAATTAGATAAAATGCGCTTAGACATTGTAAATAAATAGCACAAAAATATATTTGTGGCAACTCTGGCTGTTTGAGGACCACGCGCAACACCTCCCGGGCGTGTACCGCATGAGCGAACATGCAGATTGTGACGTCATCACCGAGCTTCTCGGCTCTATTGCAACAAAAGTAAGTACAATAGAATCTTTTTTTTATTTTTCCCGTGATCAGTGAACAGAACTTAACAGATTAGCAAAAAAAAAAAAATTTTTTTTTTTTCAAAATGACATGCGCCTGTGTGGATAGCAGGATATTAGACCCCGAGCATGTTAAGGGTTAATGTGTAGTGCCTCGCAAATGTCAAGCCGCCTGCTATCGCTGTATCTATCGATGATTTCTGTGTTGTTTACTAGGATTTCTCTGGCGATGGTTTGGTTGTGGGAAGAGATTATATGTTCCTTAATGGAGAACCGTTGTTTATGCATCGTTAAACGCCTAGAAAGAGATGTTATTGTCTTGCCTATATACTGGGTTTTTTGGAGCTTACAGTCCCCAAATGGGCATTTGAAGGCATAGACGACGTTGGTCTCTTTTAAAGAGTTCTGCTTTGTGTCTGGAGAGTTTCTCATGAGTAGGCTGGCCGTTTTTCTGGTTTTATAGTAAATCGTCAGTTGTATCCTCTGATTTTTGTCTGTAGGGATAACGTTTCTAGTAACAATATCTTTCAGGACCCTTTCCTCTGTTTTATGAGCTGTGGAAAAGAAGTTCCTGTAAAATAGTCTAATAGGGGGTATAGGTGTTGTGTTAGTTGTCTCTTCAGAGGTTGCATGACGTTTCACTTTCCTTCTTATGATGTCTTCGACGAAACCATTGGAGAAGCCGTTGTTGACTAGGACCTGCCTTACCCTACAGAGTTCTTCGTCGACTTGCTTCCATTCTGAGCTGTAGCTTAGAGCACGGTCGACATATGCGTTAACAACACTCCTCTTGTACCTGTCTGGGCAGTCGCTGTTGGCATTTAGGCACATTCCTATGTTCGTTTCCTTAGTGTAGACTGCAGTGTGGAAACCTCCGCTCTTTTCCATGACTGTTATCTTGAGATCTTGAGGTATATCTTGAGATGATTTCGGGGCTTTAGTGTCCTCGCGGCCCGGTCCTCGACCAGGCCTCCACCCCCAGGAAGCCAGCTGACTAACTCCCAGGTACCTATTTACTGCTAGGTAACAGGGGCATTCAGGGTGAAAGAAACTTTTGCCCATTTGTTTCTGCCTCGTGCGGGAATCGAACCCGCGGCACAGAATTACGAATCCTGCGCGCTATCCACCAGGCTACGAGGCCCCCTAGATCTAGAAAGGGCAGCTTCCCATCCTTTTCCATCTCGTAAGTGAAACGCAGCACGGAACTCTGCTCAAATGCCTCCTTCAGCTCCTGCAAATGTCTGACATCAGGTACCTGTGTAAAAATGTCGTCAACATACCTGCAGTATATGGCCGGTTTCAAGTTCATGTCGACTAAGACTTTTTGCTCGATGGTACCCATGTAGAAGTTTGCAAACAGGACACCTAGGGGAGAACCCATGGCGACCCCATCTACTTGCTTATACATGTGCCCATCCGGGCTCAAGAAGGGTGCCTCTTTAGTACAAGCTTGGAGTAGTTTCCTTAGGATATTTTCGGGT